AGATATATACTCTATTTAAATAGTTCAAATTCATTGCACAATACTTATTAAACTCACCAGTACCAGGCTATATATGTGTCTTACAGATTTTCCAAAATCAATATCATGCCAGTATTTATTAAACTCACCAGTACTAGGCTATATACATGTCTTACAAATTTTTCAAAATCAATATCATATACAGTACTTATTAGACTCGCCAGTACTAGGCTATATACGTGTTTTACAGATTTTCTAAAATCAATAAATCTAATTTTACAGCATGCTTAACAATTATTTCTATGCTATTGTTAGGCTAATTACAAGACTTATTGCTATCTCAAATATTTGTTTTTTAAATATTGTTGTTTCTTCAATAAAATATTTAATCAACTATTTTTGTTTAAAAAATAACAAAATAATATTAGAAATATCAGACAAAAAGACTAACTAATATATATATATATATAATTTTTTTTTGTAATAATTTTTTTGTTGAAATATAAATAATAATAACAATATTAAAATAATAAAAATAATAAATAATAATAATATATATAGTTATAATAATAAAAATAAAAACCAAAATAAATAGTTTTTTAACAAAGACACTTTTCAGTTAATACAAAGCCTTTAATTTTCATGTGTTGACAAAGTTTAACTTTTCTTAGAACTTGTTTAAGAAGTCTATCTTGAGCTTTCTTAGTTTTAGCCTCATAGAATTTGTAAAAGTCTCTATTTAAGTTCTGAAGAGGAGGAGGTAGATTAGGATATAAAAAGTGTTTTATATCATCTAAGATAAATAAAACTTTTTTTAATCTTTGTTGATTAATCCTAAGTTTTAGTAAGTGTTCAATTTATTTTAATCTAATATTGATTAGATCTTTAATGTGGTAGGTAGAAGGTTCTCTATTTCTTCTGGGAATTGGATAAAGGCTCTCCTCATCAAAAGAATCAGGATCCCATATATCAGATAGTTTATCATATTCTAGAGCTTGGCCAGAGGCAATTACAGTTTCTTCAATTATTTCCCATGGATCTTGGGTATCATCTGTATCCTTAGTCTTGTAAGATTGTATAGATATAGATTGTAAAGCTTCTTGCTCAGTTGGTAGGTTCTCTTCTATAGGTAGAGTGTCAGACACAGGTTGTTGATCATTTTGATCAAAACTTAAATCAGTCCAAGCATTATAGTAAATATCCAATTTCTGCTTGATATTAACCATTATAAAAATTATATGAATATGTGGTAATTTAAAAATAATAAAATATATGGTATTTATATAGTAAAATAAAATAGTGTATAGTAATGATGAAAAAGATCAAAATAAAAATAAAAAATTTTGTTTAAACTTTCAACGTTAATTGTGGTTCAGGGTGGCATTTTCTCACTAATATACACTTAGTAGAAAGTTGCACAAGGTCTTCAAGAGTCTATGTTTAAAATTTCAGCTCAAACGGAGCAATATTGGTGTACTTCACTTAGTACCAATCTTTATTGTAAATTTAGGTTTTCCTTCACAAAATGTCAAAAATCAAGTGCTGTATCTCACAGTCACCACCAATTTGTTATCCTATATCCACTTCTTTAAAGATAATAGGTAACTAGAGCGACTGTAGCCAGTGAATACTTCATGTAATGTTCTGAGTTATTGTATTTTAATTAAGTCAGTATGGCGTTTTTACAAAACTTAACAAAGAAGATTTAAGGCAATTTGCAATTATGAAAGAGGCAACAATT